AAAGAAAAAAAAAAAAAAAAAAAAAAAAAAAAAAAAAAAAAGAGCCTGCACCTCTTCTTCTAACACAACACAGTGTTAGCCACCAAATCTGGAGGTATCCTTTGTTAAATGACCCATCGCTATGATCGAAGACCTTATTGCCCGGTAGTAAACTGCAGGAAACTAAGGCTGCCAGGCACTCGAGAAAAAGTGTAGGCATCACTATGCTTGTGGTATATACCAGAAGAAACATTGTTAGTCTACATTGGTTGTTATCTTCAAGTTATCAAGAAAAGGATGAAAAGGACCCAAGTAATTAACATATGACATTTAAACATAGGGGTTGAAGCGGGCTGACTCACTTGCTGAGGTATGGCACTTTGAGGCTTGATGAAAGGCAGACATATTATAAAAATGGATGCAATTAACATTAAAAAGGAACATTAGGTTTGAAGGAAAGGATTTTAGCATCCAGCATATAAAATCTATTGCTTAACAAACACTGTAAAATATAGCTCCATATCAGAGTGGAGAAAGTATTCTATTTTTAATTCTATCTCGTCTCACGTGTAGATTGCTCGGCAGGAAAAAACAGTTATAAAAAGAATCGTGTGGTTACGCAGCACTTATGCTATCATTTTCTCCATTCAGCAGCAACCTACACATGTTCAGATAAATAAAAGGGCTTTTCCAGAGAAGAAATATTTTTTTTATATATATTTGGGTGATAATACCCAAAGAAGGCACCACAGCACCCAAAAGGTAGGTTTTTGAATCTGGCGATGATAACCAAAGATGGCACCACAGCGCCCCAAAGGTAGGTTTTTGAATCTGGCAATGATAACCAAAGAAGGCACCACAGCACCCCAAAAGGTAGGTTTTTGAATCTGGCAATGATAACCAAAGATGGCACCACAGCGCCCCAAAGGTAGGTTTTTGAATCTGGCAATGATAACCAAAGATGGCACCACAGCGCCCCAAAAGGTACGTTTTTGAATCTGGCAATGATAACCAAAGATGGCACCACAGCGCCCCAAAGGTAGGTTTTTGAATCTGGCAATGATACCCAAACAAGGCACCACAGTGCCCAAAGGTAGGTTTTTGAATCTGGCAATAATACCCAAAGAAGACATCACAGTGCCCAAATGTAGGTTATTCAAATCTGGCAATCAAACGTAAAAATTTGACCCCCTTCCCCCCAGCCCACTCTCGCCCTAGTCTTCTTTGCTTTCAGACTTTCCGTGGGGGCAATTTTTGTATTTTAGGTTGCGGAGGGAGTGGAATAAAGTGGTGGAAAGTGTCATTGGGGTGCGCAGGTGTGCTGTAACCCATAGCAATTCAGAATTTGCTCTGTTAAAATTATGCTCTTGCTAGCGGAAAGATCAGACTGACAGCACCCTGTAAAAGAAAATGACTAATACTTACCTGTCCAGGTGTGTCGGATGCCTGCTCCTCCACTGTGAGCCGTGGTTTATCCCACTGATGCCCGTGTCACTACTGTTCTCCAATGATAAAGTGCTCCTGCAGGAGAAACCACAGCTCGCAGTGGAGTATCAGGCATCTGACACCCCTGGACGTGTCAGATAACACCGGTGGCCAAATCTCTACAACACAGCTAGGATTTAAATAAACTACCCCTGGACAGGCTACCACCTTGCTTCTTTTATGGGGTGCTGTTGGTCTTACTTCCTTCTCTCAAGTAGTATAAGGCCCCTTTCATACGGTGGTCCAATCAGGTCCGCCTGTCAGTTTTTCAAGCAGACCCGGATCGGATGCCCATTGTTAGTCTATGGGCAGCCATGTGTAAACGGGCAAATACACCTGGTTACCCCCGACTCGGGAAAAACAAACGGATCAGAAATCATGCGACACAGATTGTGCCTGATCGGGTGTCCGCTTACATCCGATTCTCCATGGACAGACATGGGGTTGGCTCACAGCGTTGACATTTGCTCCATATTGCTGTGATGAGGAGGGGATCCCTGTTATCGGCCTGTGTGAAAGGGGCCTAAGGGTCGCTTTAAAATCAGAATAGTAAAAGATGGACTTTTATTGGTATTTATGTGCTACTGTCAAAGTTTTATTTTCCTGCAGAATCAGTTGGTCCCCTGAGCACTGGCCTTGACTTCCTGTTTTAGGATGGCTCCTCTTAATTGCAGGGCCCTATGGGGCAACCCTGGTGTGTGCTAGTAAGCTTTGTTTGTCTCCGCAAGCAAACAGACAAGACAAGACTAACTGTTCTCTTGCTCCCTGCTCCTCTCATCTCCAAACTAGTAGTTGAACAGTTGCTGGAGTCTTTGCTGTCTCTTGTGATCTTGTACTGGACAGGAAGTTCAGTGAAGCTGAGCTGAGAGATGAGGAAGCAGTTGTTCAGAAGCATGATGATTATAAGTGTTTGGGCAAAAATGTAAAGCAATGCTATGCTGGGCAATGTATATGTTTGATCTGGATTTATTACTGAAAAAACTTTTTTTTAGCTTTGGGGAGAGAGGTAAAGGGTTAGAACCTCTGTCAATTTTTATTGCCATCAAAGAAGAGATTTTACTTACATCCTGCCCAGGTGTCAATGTTTTAGCGGACAGGAAGTGAGATGGAAATCTTCAACCACACGGGGAAAAGGGGCTTTTGTTTAGTATACCGTAGCTGAGGAAAGCTAGAGCCCCTTTCAGAATTTCATTTCTGCTGCCGTGTCCCTGTTGCCGAGTTTACCTCACTTCCTGTCTGGTGAAAGTTGTCAGCAGGACAGGAAGTGAAGGAAATGTTTCTCTAAAGGGTTCGTTCACAGACCCGCATTTCTCTGCGCCAGAGGAGCACAAGTCTTTACAAGGGAATATAACAAAACAATTGTTTCCTATGCGTTCTGTTCACATCACGACCGAGTAGAGAAAAATGCAGCATGAACTGCACCAAAGCCTCAGTCAGTCTGTCTGTCCATTTGTGAGCTGCAGTGCACAGAAATTAACTTTATGACATTTCAAAACAAAAACCATAATCAATGCCTTGAGGAGTGATGAGTGGGGGCTTTCATGGAACAAAGGGGATGAAAAATGCAACCTGGGAGTGCGAGTTACAGTTTTGTGCAGCCTTGCGGAAACTGGGTTCACACCAAGCCCCCCCCTTAATCATTAGCATTAAGTTGTAAAAACGCAAGGGACTGCACACCCAGAACGCTAATGCTCACCACACATTTTACAATCAGATTGTAACATCTCTTTTAGATCTACCAACAACTATGCAGTACAAGGGCCTTCCTGACTGGATAGATTAGGTGTGTCCTCATATTACACAGTTTTGGTCAATTAGATTCGAGGGGGTCATTCAATTTTCCCAAATTCACCTGGAAAAGTGAACATACCCTTTAAGAACGTTAATGGGAGGAACGCTTCATTCATAAGACAATCATTTAAAGCAGATGAAAAAATGCAAGAGAAAAAAAAAAAAAAAAAGACATAAAAATATAATTTCAGGCATTAAAGACAATTAAGTACATCAATCAGAACAGGAATACACTCAGCCTTCAGAGGTCAATAACACACTTGTCAAGAGAAAACAACCTGCATGACAATCACTGAATTATTATGTAATGAGTAATGCCGAGTCATTAGCATTCCTTTATTATCAACCATAAACAAATTCTCAGACTGGACTTCAAACTAGAAAAATATGGAATACGCAAAGAAGCAACAATCAAAGTATAGAAGACGACATTAAGAAGCAACAATAAAACATTAATTCCAAACCTTTGCAGCTAATAAAAATTCAGATGGAAGAATATCGTTACCACCACATACACAAAGCCAATAGTTGGCACTGCCAAACCAACTACAACTTATCATGTACCCAACTTTATTTTTTATAATTCTGCCCCTGTACAGGGAAAGGACGGCGGGTTGTGTTTTGTATCTTCAATGGGAACAAAGGGACAATTGTTCTTCCAAGAGATTGCCGGAAAATCTCTTATGACAAGGGTTTGTGACGTTTGTCTTGCCTGATCTCCGGGACCCTTGTGATTGTTTGTAAACAAAGAATACAAACCTCTTCCAGACATAGATTTTTAAAACCATGATTTATTATTATTTAATGATATATTGAATTATGATAAATATATTATTTGTTGATGGCACACTAGAAATCATCCATGTGAACAGGTGAGGGGCCCCCGATCCTTAGATTGAGAGATGACAATAAAGGCCTGATCATGTACTAGACACTACGGAAATAGGTAATGCTGATAATAAGTTACACAATGCACAGATTACAGTGCAGTCAGCACTGGTGACAAGGTCCACACCGAAGTATCATGTCATCGGGATGGATGGTGGCGGTCACCAGGATCACACCTGATCGCACTAGACGAAGCCTCGCTGTGTGGAGACAATAGCAGTAACGCATTGCAGCTGGCGATACAGGGAAGAACGGGCCCATTGCAGGCTAGCACTGTCAGCACATACACACTGGTGACATCACGCTTCCCATGACGTCACACGTCCCTCGGTACTCACCACTTGGTACCGGCTGGCGGCCTGGAGGTACTGATGATCCATGACCTACGGGGATGGCAGCCAGCAGAGCCCGATCCGCGTTCCCCGGCTTGGCTGTGCTAGCCCGTGTGTAGCTCGCTACTTCCTGTACGTGGACGGCAGTTTCCTGTGTGAGTCGCTGTGCCGGTTCCTACCTGTATACCATGTAACGGTGTAAGCAACCCGTATACACTACACCTCTCACTGGTAACCTCCGCCACTGACAGCGCCGCCTCCCGCCCCGTGGGTGTGTCCACAGACGGGGTGGATGCGACCTGGGCGGCTTCCTAGTTGCCATGGTTTCCCAGGAACGCTGCTGTAGCCGGATTGGGTGACGTCACCACACCCCGATCACATGGTGAACCTGGAGCTACATCCGCATTGCTAGTGTGAGAGCTTAGAGGGCCATAATTTCAGAAACCTGATTGTCCTTTCCATTTGCCATGACTGTAACACACACTCCACATGCCATACCATACCATCTCCCCTTAAAGGGCAAGTTCATTATTTTATTAACCCCCCACACACCAGGTGCCTATCAACCTACTGTAATGGTGGGGGTATCCCACTGTCTACATCCCAGCCAGAGAGGATCTAGTGCCCTGGTTCTCAACTAGTGGGTCCTGACCCAAAAGTGGGTCTGGGTCGCGACCCCGTGTTCAGTGGGTCGCCGCATGCTTTCCACTTTTCTAAGTGAGAGGCTCCTCAGCCTCCCCTTAGCACAGCACTGTCAGTTGTCATGCCGAGCAGCCATTCAAAATATGCTGCCCGTTGCCTAATGTCAGCTTGAGGTGGGATGGGGCTATGGCCACGAGGGAGCTCTATTCATACGTGCATTGCTTACAGCTCCCTCACGTGCCCTGTAGAGGTGCCTGGACCGGAGTGACGTCACATTCTGGCTCCCGGCACCTCTACAGGGCGCACAAGGGAGCTGTGCCAGCAATGCACATATGGATGGAGCTCCGTCACAGCACAGTAGCCCACACTGGACCCCAGGGTGAGGATCCACTCCAGTTCTCGATAAGGTAGGGAGACTGGGTGGACCTTAAAAAAATAAAATTGTTTTTGGAGTGTGTATGTGTTTGCGAGAATGTCTCTGAATGTGTGAGATTGTGTCTGTGGTTGTGTGTGTCTGTCAGTGTTTTTGAGGGCCCGTTCACACTAGTACAGTGCGTTAATCACACAATCCCGTGCGATTAACGCACTGTACCACGCAAAATTGCACCTACCGTGAATTCTAGTGTGGAAGGTGTGTTGCATTGCCATTCATTTGAATGGCACCTTAAATGCACATCCCAGCCACAGTTTGATCGCCCGAACTGGAACGGGGGGTACCGCAATGCTGTGCATTGCAGTGTGGTGCGACTTGGGTCATGACCTAATGACCAAGGACAAATGTGGGCCCTGAGGTTACACAGGTTGAGAACCACTGATCTAGTGTTAGGCTGGCAATGATGTCCTTAGATTGTAAAAGGAATATTGCAGCTCCAGTATGGATTTGGTGCATTCAATACCATGGGACATAATGCGCAGCTGCGGGCAGCCAAGCTCTAGCATTGGCCGGGATACAGCCAAGCGCAGCCGCTGCCATTCCTGTCGGGGGGGGCCAACTTGGCCTAGTGAAACCATATGTTAAGGAGGAACTCCAGGCAAATAAAATCTTAACCCTTGCAACTAGGCTACCACCCCATCCAGCCTGAACCACGATCCTGGCTGGTTGCTTCAGCTTCACTCCCCCTCCGCTCCAGTCGTCTAAGGTCCAGTAAGTCCAATACTTTGTATTGGACCTCAGGCCACTGAGGGACATCCCATCACTGGAGTGGAGAAGGACACAGGCTGAAGGGACCGGTGTAGCAGCCAGCCTTTATTGTGGTTCTTTAAGACAAAAATCCCAAAGCAACTCATTGAAGGTACATTTCTGTAGTACAGTCTCATTTCCCCATGTTTTATCTCTTTAGACCTTGTTCACACCAAATGCAGAGCAGATCTGCATGAGTTTCTGCACACGCAGTGCAGTGGGTTGTGCCGCGTTTTTGCCGCATTTTTTTATGCATTCCGGGCCGTTTTTGGTTTTTAAAAAAAAATGTACTTTAAAATAGGCTTTCAGTGCGTTCCAGGGCGTTTGCATACGTTCCAGAGCAGGTAAAATAGGGCCTGCTGCAGTTTTTTTTACCTGCTCTGGAACGGAACGCTGCAATGTGAACTGGAGCTAAAAATACCATTGGAATACATTGGACGCAGTTTTGCACCGGTCTGTTACTGCTCTGCTCCTGGAACGCGCTTGGTGTGAACAAGGCCTAATTCCTGTGCGGGTCTGACAACACACACCATTTTTTGTGAACTGAGTGTTGTCAGCCCTGCTCAGGATCTTTTACTATACTACGCAACTCCTACTCTCATACAACATAAAGGCTAATCATTCTGTAGCCCAAGAGCTAGGAGGGCTAAATACACAGAACGTTTAAACAGGACACAGAATTTCTGACAAGATCAACATTTTTTTGCACTCATCAAACAGATATAAAGAAATGCTTCCATTGGTATTTTGAATGCTGAACTCTGGGGGAAAAAAAATACCCTTACATTGGCTCCCCACTACAACGCTTTTTTTGCCTAGGGCATGAAGAATAAGGTGATATACTTACTGTATTCCTTGCTCCCGCAGCAGTCAGCGCTTGCCTCCACTGTCCAGAACTCTGGAGGCCCTCGGTGTCCTCCTGTACAATGCAGGTCTGCTGGTCCTGCATTGCATGGGGTGACTTCAGAGAGCTGCAACCAGGGGACTGGCCACATGAATAGGAGGAAGACTGTGGGAGGGCAGAAAAATGTAAGGATCAACTTATTCATCATCCTCAATCACACATCTCTAAAATGATGAGTTATTTATGGTTGTCCTTCCTGAAAGGTAGCTGTCAAGACAAAAATATAGGGGGTGCCATTAGTTTTTAGGTGAATGCTTTACGACTGCCACAATTACCCTTTACTCAGCACTTGGTGACTCATTGACCCATAGCAAGGTCATCCTGACGCAGTGCAACCTCTAAATGTCTGACAGGCTTTGGGGTTGTGTGTACGGGCAAACACAATTTGGTTTAATTAATTAAACACTAAGCTTAAATAAATCCCACGCCAATATTATCACCCTGCTGCAAGCACTAGATCAAACTCGAACAAAATATATAAAATCAAAGTGCCCCGCTATACTTTACAGATTATGAAATATAAAAATTGTGACAATCGTGATCTTAAACACAAACCGTGATAAATATTATGTTCATTACAAATATGTGTCATCACCCACGTACTATGTGGCATAAATATTTACTCTGCAGAAGGCTGCTCACTGTATCATCAAACCTCACCAAGAAAGTCTTACTGGTCACAGATTCCTTTTCTGTGCTCGCTGGCTGGTGGGGATTACACTGTTTCGCTTATAGATGTAAGGGATGTGTCCTCCGTATAAATACCGCTCATGCAAGGGATAAAGCACACACTGCTATAAGTATAAAGTCCATTTATTTAAAAAAGGTACTCACGTTAAATCCAAAACAATGAACATAAATACAGTATTCCTTGATGCCGCAATCATCCATTAGAGAAAACACTCACACACGCCTCCACTGTTCCTGTATGCACGGGCCGTTCTTAAACTCGGCCCTATGCACGTTATGTTTAAATCACTACTTCAGGGGTCAGGAGTAAAACATACAACATAGTGTATACAGTGCAGGGGTCAGGAGTAAAACATACAACATAGCGTATACAGTGCAGGGGTCAGGAGTAAAACATACAACATAGCGTATACAGTGCAGGGATCAGGAGTAAAACATACAACCTAACATATGCAGTGAAGGGATCAGGAGTAAAACATAAAACATAGCGTATATAGTGCAGGGATCAGGAGTAAAGCATACAACATAGCGTATACAGTACAGGGGTCAGGAGTAAAACATACAAGATAAAGTATGCAGTGAAGGGATCAGGAGTAAAACATACATAGTGTATACATTGCAGGGATCAGGAGCCACATAGCAGGGATCAGGAGCCCATACCACATAGCGTATACAGTGCAGGGGTCAGGAGTAAAACATACAAGATAAAGTATGCAGTGAAGGGATCAGGAGTAAAACATACATAGCGTATGCAGTGCAGGGATCAGGAGTAAAACATACAACCTAACATATGCAGTGAAGGGATCAGGAGTAAAACATAAAACATAGCGTATACAGTGCAGGGGCCAGGAGTAAAACATACAACATAGCGTATACAGTGCAGGGGCCAGGAGTAAAACATACAACATAGCGTATACAGTGCAGGGATCAGGAGTAAAACATACAACATAGCGTATGCAGTGCAGGTTCAAGAGTAAAACATACAACATAGCGTATACAGTACAGGGGTCAGGAGTAAAACAAACAACATAGCAGATACAGTGCAGGGGTCAGGAGTAAAACATACAACATAGCATATACAGTGCAGGGGTCAGGAGTAAAACATACAACATAGCATATACAGTGCAGGGGTCAGGAGTAAAACATACAACATAGCATATACAGTGCAGGGGTCAGGAGTAAAACATACAACATAGTGTATACATTGCAGGGATCAGGAGTAAAACATAGAACATAGTGTATACAGTGCAGGGATCAGGAGTAAAACATACAACATAGTGTATACAGTACAGGGGTCAGGAGTAAAACATACAACATAGCGTATACAGTGCGGGGGTCAGGACTATGTAAGATATAGCATTGTGTATAGAGTGCAGCGGTCAGTAAGAGTGTGCACCTTACTGCTGGTCAGTGGGAGAAAATATTCCCCAAAGTTGGTATAAGAGAATAGAGTAATAGACTCTCCACCTCCACTTCCATTCTAGAATGGCTGCCTCCTCTTTGCCTCCCCTCACAGAGGAAGCCAGCGCCAGGGTGTTTTACCCCTCACCAGCTCCTGCTTCCTCTGTTCCAGCAGCAGACCAGGACCCTGCTCCCTCCTCCCTTAGAAGGTACTGTCCTGCCCCCTCTACTGAATTGCCTTGGAGTTGATGTGGCCAATGCATGCACAAATTCAGTAATGACTCATTTATATGCAAATCATTCAGTGGTTAATACATATGTAAATCCAGGATGGTTGAATAGAAATTAGCTGTGGGTACAATGTAACAGGGACAGAGGTATTGACAGACAGACTTGGCATCCTATGACACAACCTTCGAGGGACAGCTGAATGAAAAGTGGGACTGTCCTGGCAAATCCAAGACTGTTGGTAAATATGTACTTCTTACTCCTCACCCCGCTATCCAAATCTAAAAAATACATTTTTACTTATTCTTGAGTAGAGGAGGACACATAATGCATCCTCATTTTCTGGTATTCTGCATTTAAAAAAGTCTGTGCCTTCTGAATTAGAACACATGAAGTAGTTCTGTTAGTATTTCTATCAGGTAAACATAGAAGTTGCCCAAGACAAGGTGGATAAAATGTTCTATAAATATAGCAACATATTACTGACCTGGTATACTCTTGCACAAGTGATATATAATCTGAACAAGATGGATCCAACATGATGTGATGGGAATCTGTTCAAAATGTCATAAGGAAGTTCAAATGTTACTCGAAACCAGTTGTCATGATTTGATTTCAGTCTTGCTTCGATGAGTTGAAAACAAATGTCAGAGGTGGTGAGCTTTTATTATCACAGCAGCACAACCCACAAAGACATGTTCATTTAACATGTTCGTTTTCCAAAGAATTGGGGGGTTAATTAAAGGATAAGTTCAACTTTTGCAAAAATTAAAGAAATGCATAATTCATAATATATTTTAGAAAATGCATTCCTTTCATGTTTGCATTGAAGCCTGGAAAGCATTGCAACTGTGATCACTCGATCAGGGCGGCCTGCAGAGCTCAGGCTTCAGCACATTCTCATACAGGAAGAGCTCCGTATTGAGCTCAGAGAGATGGGGGAAGGATGGCTGGACTTCAAACTGCATTAAATCAGGTCATACAGCATCCAGCCGCCCTCTCTCTGGTTAGATGCGGTAGAGCTGTCTTTATTCCCGTCCAGCCGTCCTTCCCCATCTCTCCTAACTGAAACTCTGTACATCAGTACCGAGCTCTGCCTGTATGAGAATGTGCTGAAGCCTGAGCTCTGCAGCCCTGATCGAGTGGTCAGAGTTGCAATGCTTTCCAGGCCTGAATGCAAAAATGAAAAAAATGCATATTTGTTTTTATATTTTTAAATATACATTTCTTTAATTATTGGAAAAGGTGAACTTTGTCTTTAATGTGTACATATGTTATATAGATACAACAATCTTCTTATTAGCATTGCATTTTCTGTAGACTTTTTTATGTGATGCATTGGAGTACCACTTGATGTTACATTCTAGGTAATTAAGTGAAAACGTCACTGTGACTAAAACTAATTATGCATGGGTACTTTGGGGTATTTTTGTTATACAAGTAAACATGACAAAGGGTTCCCAGAGCATTCAGGGTTATATAACGAGAGAGCAGATGCTGATTTTTTTGCAGCTTCCTTTGTCTGACAGAAACCTTGCATTTTGAGGGCCAGTTCAAACCAGGTACATTGTGGCTGCGCTGGCGGCCTTGCACAGGGCACTCCCAATGTAAAAACAAGGCAGTTTGCCTTGTTCTCAATTGGTACAGTTCACACCACTGTGCTGCAGTGGTGTGCACTGAAAAAAGTAATGCATTCACTACCTTCTGTCAGAGCAGCATGCATGGTGTGTGACACAGTACAACCGCATTATACTATGTCATTTGTGACATTTCGATAGTCGTCTATTAAACGAAAAAAAATGTCTTTGCAACGTGTTGAAGCATAAATTGTCAGTGGGAATTGGCCATTTACAGTTTGATCGAGGAACTAGCCCTTTCTGATGTGACCTGGATGACCATGCTTGAGAAGAATCGTCTGGCTGGAATGGATTTCCCTGGCTGTCTGCTATTCTTTTCCTCACCTGAACGCTCCCCATGTTTGCCTAAGGCAGGGGTAGGCAACCTTGGCTCTCCAGCAGAAACTACAAATCCCATAAGACATTGCAAGCCACAGACATGACTCCCAGAGGCAGAAGCATGATGGGATTTGCAGTTTCAGCACAGCTGGAGAGCCAAGGTTGCCTAGCCCTGGCCTAAGGGCACTGCTTGCTGCAAAACCCTGAGGACTCTGTTGTCAGTAAACTGCCCTTTCATGGAACTCTTCACTTTAGACTGCCAATGCTAGCTCTACACTTCCAAAGAGTTTGCTGGTAAACACCTCCATCCTTTAAACGTTTCCAGTTCAGGGACAGGCTTTAAAAAGAAGAAGCCATGAGCAGGAATGATTTCCAAAACAATCCACATCCAAATGTCTGTTGTGGGAGGAGTTGCCCATATGGAAGTCGGTTCTTGGTCATGTGCTCATTTAGGCTCTGTCCACACCTAGGCATTTTGTTGCTTAAATCTAAGCAGAACAAAGTACTCAAGACACGGAATCCCATTAATTTCTATGGCCCCTGTTCACACCTGAGCATTTTGTTGCACTAACTTTCCCACTGAAGTTTATGGGACCAGAAAGCTCTGTAATCTGCCAAAAACTAGCTCATGTCTTTTTCCAGTGACATATGTTTTTATGCTCAGGTGTAAACAGGGGCCGTAGAAATTAATGAGATTCCTTGAGCTTTTTGTCTCCCTCAAGATAAGGGAATGGGATTCCTTGTCTTGAGCGTTTTGTGGTGCTTACCTTTGAGTGACAAAACACCTAGGTGTGAATGGAGACTTAAGGTGCCCATACACCTTACGATTATCGGACGATTTTCGTATGCGATCGACTTTTCGTCCGATAATCGTATGTGTGCATTGCAGTGCCCGGCCGAAAGTACTGTACAAGCGTACGACTTTTGACGGTCAAGCATGTTTGAAAACTTTGCTAGATCGTACGATTGTCGTAAGGTTGCTGGCGTTTCAGTCCGTCAAAAGTCGTACAATCTACGCAGTGTAGATCATACGACTTTTGACGGACGTTAGCTTGCGCTAACGAAAATACGGCAATTCAATTACCGCATTTCGTCCAGGTGCTTTTCCTTAATTACGGCTAAATTAATCTTGCGATCATCGGGGCAGGATGGGGCTGCCGTACGAAAATCGTACGACTATTCGATCATGGGACGAAAAATGTTGTCCGATAATCGTAAGGTGTATGGGCACCTTTGTAAAGTGTATGGCCACCTTAAGTGTAGATGGAGGAATCTGTTGCACCTTTTCCATCTGACCATAGAAAATATGCAGATAATTGTAAGGTGTGTGCCCAGCCTTAAGGTGGCCATACACTTTACAACCCTAGCAAGACTTTTGTCTTGCAAGGGTTGTAAAGTACTTAAAAAAACATACGACCTGCCCATCTTGGACAGGCAGATCGTGAGGGGCGGGCTTACAATGACTGCAAACGCACACCGGCCCGTTCGGCAGTTGTCGAACCAGCAGGCCACTAACTCGCCGAGAATCGTACGATTCCCGGAGGGTTTTCTAGCCTGCTGGTTCGACGGAAGACGTGCGACCGTACAGTAGAAACGGTCGCACGCCTTCCATATACTGCATACCGTCGCTCGCTTCTCGATCATCTCCCTGCAGAGAGCGGTGACTGCCAGTCACGGCTCCCCGCAGCGGTTCCCCCCTCCCCTCTCCGATCCTCCAGTGCTGACTGGAGGAACGGAGAGGGGGCGAGCACAGCTGGCTCTGCCTCTGGATAGGCAGAGCCCGCTGTCACTCACGCAGCTGGATGGATCTCGACAGTAATGTCGGGATCCGTCCCAGGTGTGGCGGTCTCAGTATACCACGAGCTGCAGCTCGCGATATACTGAGCTTTGGGTCACTGGAGGATGTTAGTATATGTCCTCCCGTGACCCTAAAGAGAACTATGGGGAAAAACACTTACCCCATAGTTCTCTTTTAAATGTTGTCATTGATACGTACGCCTTTTCCCCACTTTAGTCAGTTGCAGTCACTAGTTCCTTTGCCGTGAGCATATCAACTTTCATTTCACTCGGCTCTGCTGAACGTCAATCACCTCGCCGTAAAGCGCGCACGCGCGGACGTACGTGATGACGTAGAACGTCCTGTGGTGTCGCGATGGATGGTGGCCGCCATCTTACAGCCTGTGGTTCATGTATGGTTTAGTTGTTATACCATATCGTTACGCGGAGCACACCGGCATTATCGGCGGAGACTTTAAGTACATTCGCTGTCCTGCAGGTCTTGTATACGGCATAGGAAGCGAGCAAGCCAGCAACTTGCCTGTGTGTTTTAGTTCTCCCATCAGCTCTCCGACCCCAGGAGAGGCACGAACATGATAATAGAGGACTTCGAGGCGCTGAAGAACTGGCTCTCTAAGACCTTGGAACCCATGTAAGTGTGTGTCCACTGTGGGGGAGGGGAGCAGCCTGTGTACGAGCTGGGCTCACCCCTGTAATAAGTCTCTGACCTGCAGCCTGCATGTCATCTGAAAATGCTCCCCGTTTGGCTTACAGAAACCCTGTTACCATCTTCTGTCCTTACAAATAAACACAGGCTGCTAGTAGGCATCGCCGTTGGACTTCCAGAAGAGTTGTCTGTTGCAGTATGTTGGGATGCCTAAGTGAAGGAAACAGAGCCATGGGGATTGGCACTTGAGGGGGTGTAATATTATCATGTATCGGCACCCTCCTTCCCATTTGGTGATGTCAGACAGGTGACTCTGTTGCTAACGATCCTGACACTGCTGATTTGTGGCAGGATCACCAGGAGGTGCCTGTGTGTCCATATGGAATCTCTCCCTCTGTATCCGATGCAGTGAGATGTCACTCCCATCACTAGGGATCAGGATTCACCAACGATCAGGCCGGTGACATCACACTGCACAGAGGGAGAATTCCATAGGGGCAGACAGGCGACTTCTTTAGGGATCCTTCCACTGGCGATTTGTCTCTAGGGGTAGAATCGCCCATCTGACATCAGCTTAAGTCATCAGTGTTAAATAGTTTGAGAAGCCGCATAGTAATCCCAAACAATGAGCTCTAATTGTATGCAGAGGCCTTTCATGAGGTTTGTGGACAGTGTGATGTAGAGTTGGGGGGTGGGCCTGCACCTCTCATGATCCAAAACCCTTCTCTGTCACAGCGGCTAGGCCTCCTGCCTTGCAGCACGGTGGTCATTAGTTGTAATCCCAGGCAGGATAATATCTGCATGGAAAATCCAGAAACGGGGGTCTTCACTGAGAGTGAAAGTCTTTATTTATAGAGCAAATGCATACTGTAAAGCTCCTCCCATGTATTCCCAACCCTCTAATGCATTTTACCATTCCAAAAAGAGAACTATGGGGTCAGTGTTTTCCCCCATAGTTCTCTTAAGGGTCACGGGAGGACATATACTAGCGTCCTCCCGTGACCCAAAGCTCAGTATATCGTAAGCTACAGCTTGCGATATACTGAGAGTGGCAGCTGGGACGGATGCCGACAATACTGTCGAGATCCAGCTGCGTGAGTGGCAGCTGGCTCTTCCTATCTAGAGGCAGAGCCAGCTGTACCCGCCCCCTCCTCGTCCGTTCCTCCAGTCAGCGCTGGAGGATTAGAGCGGGAGGGGGAATCCCTGCAGGGAGCCGTGAGTGACAGTCACCTCTCTCTGCAGGGAGATGATTGAGAAGTGAGCGAGCGCCGGTATGTGTTCACTCCCCGATCTATTGAGCCGACATGTGACAGTTTCATTGTTACACGTCGGTTCGAACTATGAGCACGAGTGATTTCCACTCGCCTCATAGTTCTCCTTTAATCAGAATTGAGTAAACTGGAATGGTGCATCGTGTTAGTGGCTGAGCATACATGGGAGGAACTTTACAGTATGTATTTGCTCCATAAATAAAGACTTTTACTCTCAGTGAAGACCCCCGGAGTGCGGCCATTTCTGGATGTAGCTGTTGTAGGCAATGGCGCTCTTGTTTGCCTGGGATGCAGTTACAGTGCAAGCCAGTTTGGGAATCTGAGCGGTGTTTGCTGTCAATTATCGCATATCTGCATGGAGTTGCATGTTCTCCCTGTGCTTGTGTGGGTTTGCTCCCTCGCTCCAGAGAAATGCTGGTAGGTTATTTGTCTCCTGTCTAAATTGGGCCTGCAGCTGTGGGTGGAGAATAGCCCCTTTAACATGCAAGAAGAGGATGGAACTCCAGCCACAAGCTGCTGCCACTGTCTGTCATTCATGAGGAGGAGAACCTCTGAGCATGAAATGAAATCATGAAAATATAATGGAGGTGACCGCCTGTGGCTGACTCTGTGTTGTCGCACAGTACTCGAAGGCCTTGTTCACACCAAATGCAGAGCAGATCCACTCAGGTTTCTGCACACTAGTCTTTTTAGATGCGTTTTTGGCTGGAAAAAAAATGTTTAAAGTTTAAAATGGGCTTTCTCCAGGCATTTGCATGCGTTATTGATGCGTTTGCAGATCTTGAGCAGGTAAAATAGGGCCTGCTGCAGTTTGTTCACCTGCTCTGGACCTGCACGCTGCCATGTGAACTGGAGCAAAAGATACCATTGGAATACATTGGACGCAGTTTTGATCCGGTCTGCAACTGATCTGCTCTGCACCTCTTCTGCGCTTGGTGTGAACAAGGCCTAATACAATGAGTAGGATGACTGAGGTCATCAGCCTTCAGCGGGATGTGGTCCTAAAACCCTCTTACCGGTAGGATCAACAATGGAAAATGAAGTGCAGCTTCAGCAACAGGTAAAGGAACATATTAGGCCTTCCCACTCACATAGGCAATTTTATTTTGCCTGGCCAAACACTTAAATAATGAGTCCCTGACCTAGAACAAGAATGAAGAAGTCCAGATCTGTAGATTTGATGTAT